CAAATTGAAATTGTGACAGAAGTTTCCTATTAACGTCATGGATGAGCAGGAAAAACAGTACTCATTCCATTGTTTTTTGGTGTGAAGTGTAGCTTTAATGGAATTTAAAGAGACCTACGAGTGCATAAAAATGCTAAATGATACACAGGAAGTAACAAGATCATTTCCTGCATGATAAATCATGAAATTTTCAAATATTGAAATGGATATTAGGAGACATAAAGGATATTTCTGCGTGATTTATTTTCGAGTAGCCTTAAAGAAAGCCATCGTGCTCTTCTCTCAAACATAAGACACATGGAATTATCTGATTTTTGGAGAGATAACACTGTGGCAGAAGCAAGGTAAAAGACACGAGTCTAAGACTGTGGCGATTCAATGAAAAATCGCAATTTTTCAGCTGAGTGGGGAAAGTTTTGAAAATCCAAAGTGGATGCTTTATTGCAGCCAAGTCTGCACGTGGGGGAACACTCACTGTGATTTGTTTCCCCTGTAAGCCTGACAAAAGACAGTACTGTATTTAAAATATTCTGCATAAGCTAGACTTTCTCCCCTTTTTTTTTTTGTCAGCTCTGCTAGAGCTATTCATTGTTCGTAGTTTAAATAAATGTCAGTTTTGTAAGGCTTGCATGATACCAGACCCTAGGAGACAGAATCTCTATCCACAGCATCTGGGAGCACCTTCCCCTAGCCTCTCTCTCACATCACAGGAGACTCCTGCCTTTATGCTCTCTTCCTTTTACCCCCAAAGCCAAGCATGTACACTTCCTTTCAAATGGAAACGAAAATTTCAAATTCGCTCGACGCTTATCTTGATGTCGCGCCCGATAAAATGCCTCAATCCCTCTTTCGCCTCTCTCCACCCCCCCCAAAAAAATACAAACATTTGAATAACCTTCGTGGGTTTTTTTTCTTCTTTTGGCCTCCGTCTCCTCACTATATGTTTCTATTTAACGGCTCATCAATTCATAAGGTAATAGTTTTGAAAGAAACAACTATTGGATGTTTTATCAGGATGTCATTCAAATGGAAGGTTCAGCATTTACATCACAACAGTGTGCAGTGCAGGAGGTGCCCCCTGGGTAGGCCAGTGGTGGCAATAAACTCCAGAATTAGAATATACTTAATAAAAGAGGCTTATATTTGACTTGAATTTAAAGGACAAATAATCCCCATATCAAGATCACATTATAGTCCTTTTATGAAAAAATTATAATAAGAAGAATGAAGTCAGGTGTCTTTTTTCCTCTTTTTTAACATTTACATTTTCATGTTAGTCATGTGTTACTCGTTGTTAAAATCAGAAGGAGCAGTTTATTTTTTTTTTATTAAAGATGGGCTAATTATAACGCGAGTCGTTGTTTTTTTTTTTAAAGAGACTACATGGAAGAATGCAACGTTACTGATGTCCTGAATAAAACGATGTCAGCTTCTGAAAAGAAAACGCCCCTCTGTTGAGAAAGGCTCTCCCAAAAAATCTGAGAATCCTGGTGGAATATACACAGAATTTCCATTTAGTAATTTGTTCTGGGCAAGGAGATCCAATTGAATCTAATTGAAAGACCTAAATGTCGTCAGCTTTGTTTTGCTGGATGCTAAGTATCAAAATATGTTCTAGTTTTCTCCAGTGTTTGACCATAATTATATCACAGACTAAATCACTTTTTAAAGAACTCAGTGGTGTGATGTGATAAAAAGGGTGTATAAATAAATTCAACATTAAACTTAAATTGCATAAGGGATTTGCTTTGAGAAGCAGCAATAATCTTGCAATGTAATGGCATCAAGATGGTTATTGTTAAAGCAATCCGTTTAACTGTAGTGACCAGTCTGTTTTTACTCCATTAAGAGATTGCTCTGAAGGAAACATCACAAGTTTGTAGTTTAAATTTATTGTGCATAAGGTGATTTTAAATGTCATTAATGACAATATATAGGAATTAAGGGATGTTGGCAAAAGCAAGAAAATCAACTAATAACACCCACAACAAAAGTACTAAAATGTACACATTGTATTGCTAAATACTCTAATTATTCTTTGGTGTTGGAACTGGAACTGAGCTTTGACTGAACCCCTTTTCAAGCTTTATGTATACAACACAGCCACTTTTCTTTGAGATGAGCAAAAATAACTTCACTATTAGGAACATTACACTAAATCATCCGTGCTTCTTACATAAACAAAAAAAAATTGGAAACTAAATTGGAAAGCATTATTATCAGCAGTTACAGCTATAATTCACCCATAGAAACTGCTAAAAAGTATGGCAGTATTTGTGCAGTAGCTCTATTTATTACCATTAAGAATTATTACAAAATGTTACACATGTGGTGTTTGGACAGCCTGTTTTTAAACAGTTTTTAACACAGTGTATATCTGCATTAAAGTAGCACATTATTGTACAGAGCTGAAAAGCACCGCATGTTCCTGAAGTGGAAAACTTTTATTCTAGTCTAGCTAAAACTGACTCGCATAATTTAAACAGAGGAAATAGGCCTCAGATCACTTTGGTTTCAGTTTTCTCATCTCTACACTAACACCAGCACTCATAATGTCATTTAACTGCTGCAACACCACCTTTGCAGACTGATCTAGTTAGATCTCAGAAGCTCAACAAGACTGCCCTGGTCACTACTGGGATGGGAAACCTTAAAGCACAGAGAGCTGGTATATTGGTATGGGTGGACTATTACTATTAAACGCTATTTTCAGACCATTGTCCAAGTATGGTAGCTGGGCATAATGTGCTGTAGGAGAGATTATTCTTCAGACAAGAAGCCACAAGAAGCCCTGACCACTTGGTCATTAAAGATCCCAAGGCACCTTTTGTTGAGTAAGAGTGTTAAATTACCCTGCTACGGTAGTGGTGCTGCTGGGGCAGAATGTTTGATGCATATCTGTCTGGTGGGTGGTGTTCTTCAGAACTGCTTTGAGATTGTGCATAATAGAAACTACTAAATAAATGCAAGAAGTATTCTACTTATTAAGATGTTCCACTTGATCCTTAGAATGACATACCTGTGCAAAGGTAAAGCTGTAAATTAATTTGTACAGTTTCAATATGGGAAGCAAGTACCTTAAGTACCATGCACATTGTCACCTACTGTACATAACACAATACATTGCACGCTCTACATTCAGGAAAGCACAGGAAACAAGATTAGTGCTCCTGTGCTGCAGTGTGAATTCACAGCCATGTCCTGACAGCAATGCTGATACAAGACTGCCCCCTGCTGCTTTTTTTTCCCTAGCGCTGGGCAGCAGGCACTCACATCAGTGAGAAGGCTGGTTCTTATTGAACCGTAAGGAGTAAAATGAGGGGAATCACACTCAGAATAAGAGCACCTTTAAAGACGCTCATCTTCCACAGCTGAAAGAGTGAGAACAGCAATCACGCAAGGTTTTTAAGATACTTAGTGTACTCACTGGTGATTAATAATGTTGCTGTCGTCATGCTGGCTTCCTAGTCAACAGCAAGGATCTTTCCAAAGGAATGCTCCAGATTCCTATCCTACCTATTACATCCTGTGAGCCTCATTTCTGAATGACTAGCACATCTGACAGTGGAATCATGAACGCAGACCCAAAAACATACAGGAAGAGAGACCAAATCACAAGACCTAATAACACCTACAGCTAAACAGAGTGAAGTACTACTGTAAAATGACATCTGGAGTCTGAAGCACATAAAGCAGACCATACTTGCAGTTCTTACCTCAGCTACCATAACAAACGTGAATAACTTTTATTTCAGACAGCCCCATGGCATCATTACTTTCAAAGGATGAATAATAAGAAGAAGCATATAGTATTAGTATCTGTAACATACTCTCTTACAAAGTTACAAGTGTACCTCACATTCTTTCACAAAAAGGAAAGAAGGGGAATTTATAAGCGCGTCTATTTATCTACACACAAGCTCAGCTATCAAATCAAGCCAAGACAGTTCTGACATGCTAGGTAATGCTGGGAAAACATTCGCTCTCAATTAGCGCCGCTAGCTGTCATCTGCAATAGCCGAAACAAATGGTAACGAACGTGCTAAATGGAATCGCAAAGCTCCTATCAGGAACGGAAGCAGCTACCGACTGTTCAAAAGCTTCAGGTTCCTGACAACCATCATCCGGTGGAAACCAGATCCTGTGGCGGCACCCTGCTCTAATTAGACACACACGGCACTGTCACAGTGAGCACGGCCAGGCCCAGGAGAACACTACCATGGGCTTTCCTCTGTACTTCCATCTCTCTTTTCATTTTCCCTTCCACACTACATATACAGCACACAATGGTTATTACTAACGCTAGGAACTGCTGTTAACCTCCTCTTATTACTAGAAATCCAGTCATGTGTGATATGGGCTCCGACGCCTACAATAGTGAGTCAAGTCAAAATGTCTTTACCCTTTTTATGTGATCAAACATCTAGATATACAAAAAGACACTATTTCAAAATTTCCATCTATACCAAAACCCTATTGTGCCACTTCTTGATGATTCAGGTTATATCTCTCCAATCAAAGCCCTCTTAGACCAGAGTGATCAAGTCTGGTCCCCCACCACTCCCTTGGTGAACTAAAGACTTCACTGGACTCAGAGAAAGGCAACAAAGCTAATCTCTGGACCAAGCAGCCCGAGCTGTGAGGTCAGGTTGAACTGTATGCCATCTTCTCCATCTCCAGCACAGACAGGTGAGGAGGTGTTGGGCTGGAGGTTAAGCAATCCTAAGTGCAGAGGAAGTTATTATTATGTACAATGTCTGTACAGACAGGGGGACCAGGGGCTCAGAGTCAAGCTAAGTGAAAACAGGTGGAGAAGAGGCGGTAGGAAGCACATCTCGGTAATGACAAATGCCTGGAAATGCACACACTGGACACATGTGGGAAAACATGACAAAGCAGCAGTAAGATAGCGAGCAACACGGCAATGTAGACCGCACAGCCCCTTCTGTGCCCTTGAGTCTGCCAATGGGCGACCAGCCCCCACAAAGGCAAGCTCTTACCATGATCTCCATCTTTCGCCAGGCCTCCTCCAACTCCTCCATGGGTTTGCGCCACCAGCTGCAGAATTTTTCGTAGCGCCTTCCCTGAAACCAGTACTGGCGCAGCCACTGGAACTCCACCTGGAAACAGGAGCAGCACGTTAATGTCAGGTACCGGGCTCAGCGGGCACATGGGGGACAGCACTTACATGCAGGAAAGCGCAGCAGCCAGTCCCTATTCCTCTGTGAACGAGTGGGCCAGACACCTTTTCAAAGATGCTGACAACTTTGCAAGAATGCATTTATCCCTTTGTAGCAACGGCTCTAGACAGCAAGTGTGCGTTTTCCATGCAAGGATTGCAAAAAAAACAATCTGTAAAATAATGATACCTGCGTACTGGGGGTAAGATTTACAATCGATAGGAGGAGGTTCTAGAAACGGTACACACAAAAGCAAGAAACACAATCCAGACAGCTCTGGACAGGCCCAGTGGGCTAGTCACTTGGAAACAGGACTGAGGTTCTGTATCACACAGTCATAAATAACCTCAAAGAGTATACCCTAGAACAGAGGAGGGAGAAATAAATAAATAAGCCCAGAGAAAACTTCAGCCCACCAGACAATCATTGTGTCAGACTTGTCTTTTTCATTGCGTTGATATGAACTGCTGTTAGCTGCCGTTTCGGGGGCTGTATTTGCTGCCAGTACTCCTGCTTAACCAAAGGTTTTCTATTCCCACAGCTGACAGACCCTCATCTTCCAAGAGAAACAGTTTTTTTTTTCTTATTTCCACCCCTCATCTCTCCTCCATCACCAACAAACATGCAGCTCTGTTCAGGCAAAACAACCACTTCATCTGTTTACAGTATGAGAAAAGACCAAAAAAAAGGCTTGTTGACAATCAAAATATACAAGCAGTTACAGCCTTCTGGACCGAAAAGAGCCAAAAGGGAATTTTTATTTCAGATGACCAGCTGTCTTGGGTTAACGTCGCCTCTCCAAGACAGTAATTCCAGCTTTTGTTTTCATCCTATCAAGGAAGCTCTGCAGCACGTCCACTTAGGTTATCCTGCTGTTTATTGGGGGTACAGACAGCAGTGGGGTCTGCTTCTGAGGGTGCAGCTCCCCTCGATAAAAGCAGATTAAAACAGGAACCCCACCCCACCCACAGCAATGTAACCATTTTCAGAAGCAATATCAATAAATAGACTAAATGCGAGTGTAAACAAAACCTCACCACACTATGTGTCAGCAAAATCCTTCTCTTTAAGATCTCTACTCGAATGACTCAAAATCCAGAGTTCCTGAGGGCCCAGGACCTCTCAATCACATGAGGCTGGATGTGGTTGCTGGCAGGACAGGACTGGGAGAATCCAGAGAATCCTTCACTGCTGTGATCTGAGCAGGAAGGCTGTGAGGCCTCAGTAGGATCTAGAGCTGGATTCCAGACTCTAGGAGCGGAGGAGCATCATTGTTGTGGTGGGACAGGGGTGTTTTACGCCCCAGCATTCACTGTGCTGACATCTCTGAGCTCTGCCCTTCAACTACAAGAACTGACAGACTGATTCCCTCTCCGACTTCCCCCTTTTCCCATTTCTCCTCCTTTCTCCTGATATTTCTTCCCTTCCTACCCTTCACTCTCTCTTCTCTCTTCCTTCAGGGAATGACACTTTATAAAATAGAGCAGTTCACCTTCTCTCTTGTGGAATAATACTCATCCTTCCTCTTTGAAGTGCTGATTAAATTCTCCAAAGGATACCTTGAGCTGCCAGGTGTGTGTGCGATTGCCCCAAATACAAGAGATGAAAATGAAAGCAGCTCCAAATTAGCTGAAGCACTGTAGATACCCTCCCCCCACAACCCTCTGTTTCAGCACAGTCTTCCGAACTACTCATTGTATTCCATGTGGAAGACTCACACAGCACAAGATACAATACAATAAGACATGAAACCCACACACACACATTCATTTCAATATAATATTCAAAACAATTCATGCATTTTCACTTGGAATTTTGTTGTTTTAAAAGTAAACTCACAATTCACTCATAAACAATACCTTACAGTACATACTGAACATATGTATATTGCACGTAAACAGATTGAATGCAGACAAACATATTGCATATGTACAGTGCTTCAATCATTTCTTTTAAATACATGTAAATACAATATGCATGACAACAGAAATAAATACAACTTGTACTATCAGCAACAATCTGATTCTCTTTAGGGCAACGATGAAGCATGGAGAGCTGGAGATAAACACAGAAGAGCCTGCAGTGCTCGTAGTACAGGCCATGTGTGCTTATGATGATCTCAGCTACACATGGGGTCCTGGCGCTGCCTCGAGCACATTGCACCCATGAAGCAGGAAGAGAAAGAGAGAGAAAAAGAACTTTTGAGTTGAAACCCAGAACAGTTTTCCCATAATCAAATTGATTGTTTTAAGCTTAGACCTAAATTCGATGGGTGTGTGCAACCCTCTTGTTTTTTAAATGCAAAGCCTTCTGTGTCACAATTTTCACAGTTTTCAATGGCCATGACTGAGAACAAGTTCAGACTGAACTTGGAGGGGTGGGAGGGACTGTAGAAGTTCATTTCACAGCTCTAGGCAGTACAATCAGATCCTCTGCTGTTACCAGTACATAGACGGGCTGATCATACCAGCCTGTGCTGATGGAAGGAGATGTGAGAACAGATCGCAGGGTTTTATCATCTGAGCTGAGATTAGGCAACCCTGATATGCTCTATACAAGACACCCTTGAAAGAAATGTCAGGCTTTTGTTGAAGTTCAAACCTACAGTACTCCCCTGGCCTCTGCAGTGTCCCGCACGCAAGACGAGGGTACAAAGTCTGTGCACGTCTCTCTTCCCTCTGATTGTTTATTTGTCCTTTAAAGAATGATTACAGCCTTTGGATTAGCTGTAAACCAATGGCGGTGCATCCCGCAGAGTACACCAATAGCTACCGCAGTGCATGCAACACACTGTCTGGCATTTGGTAAAGCAGCCTCATTGTGAATTATTGAAAAGGATTGGTCACTAAATGCCACCTGCCCAGGTAGAGAAACTATATAGTATAGTCTTCTTTTTTTTTTTTTTTTAAAGTGTCAGGCTGCCTCTCCTGCTGAGCCTGTCATCTCACCATGCGACGTGCTAAATGCACATTAGCCCAGCGTTGCCTGTGCATTCACCACTGTGACCCCGGAGTCAAACTGAACTAACCTCTTTCAATTTAATGAGCCAAGGTTTTTCCACCTCACACTATTCCCTGACCAGGTTCAATCAATTTCCACGGAGCCCTGAGGTGGGAACTGATGAGAACCCAATCAATACAAGCCTGCTTTTCTATTTCTTTTTCCTCCGTTTTTTTTTCCTCTCCCTGCACTGTGCCCAAAAGCTACAAGGGACTGGCAAGGCTGCGAACACCCCAGCTGGCTCAGCAGTGCAGCCATCAATCAGAGCTACAGGATCATATATTTTTAGTGCAAATTGCTACAGACCAAACAATCATCTGCTAGTGGGGCCAGATATCTTAATTCATTTCTGAAGCCGTCTCTGTGTAGTTGTGCATCAAGGCCAGGCATGACTTAGGCCTGTGAGGTGTGGTAATTGCATATACAGCATTGCTGGGTCATTACGAAATGCTCCCTCACACTCCAGAGAGCCCACACAGCACGACTTATGGATCAGGTCAATAGAAAATGACTCTAGTGGAATGGGTACAGTTTTAAAGAAAGTATGGACTAGACATTGGGGATCTAATTTCTCCCACCTCTCAAATATTTATACTGCATTGATAGGTTTTGAAGGATGACTGTTATACACAAACTGCTGAAATGACAGTGTACCTTTAAATGAGACCAGACATTTTAACTGTGCATTTGCGCCTCCGAACAAAAAAGCTGAACTCTCGTTTGCTAACTCCAGCCTCAATATTGAAGACAGTGACATATCTGGAAAGAGAAAGACTGGAAAGAGTGGGGCAGAAGAGGTGCATCGTTAAAATCATATGAATCTAAGGGAGCACTTCCTTTATTTTGTTTTCTGGCATGATATGCACAAAAATGTACAGCAAAATCACAGTAAAGCATGAAGTGGTAATGTGTGAGACAAATCATAGTGTGAGAGTTTGGAAAGGCCCTGGGAAACATACAGTATGTAAGCACTATTGCACACTTTGCACAGCTGAAAGACTGAAATTCGAACTGAACTACTGTACATGGCCTTTATAGCATTCAAGGCCAATGTAAAAAAATTCAGTACTCATAGTATAAAAAGGCCCAGTTGTAAGATTACTGCATGAATCTTACACACTAGAATAAATGCCATTCCATGCCAGATCAACCTCAAACAAGCTAAGGGGGCACCACAAATTATCTGGAAAGACAATTTCTGTTTGTTCTGTCAGCGATATGTAGCAGGTTCCAAAAAACACAGATCAATGGATAGCCAGAAACAATGACAATATAAAAAAAACACACACCAAAAATAACAATAAATCATTTAAGTACAGGCATTGCCCTCACGGGCAACTTGAAATAAATAGCTCAATCGATCATTTTAACACCAGGTATAGCTGCTGACCTTCTAGCTGCATTTTTCTGGGTTTTATAAATAGCGTCCTGCTTTCCAAAATAAATGGCAACAACACTCAACAATGGTTTCTGCGGTAATCCTATGCAATGTGTCAACCTTATATTGCGCTCTATTACAAGGAAAGGTTGCACTATGTCAGTGATGGAGCTGTTTCTTGAGATATCTATTCCTCTGGCTTTGAATTATAAATATCGGGTACAACCTTTAAACAACCTCTTATGAAGCTCATCTGTCATTCCCACAATGCCCAGTTACAGTGTGGTGACATTTCAGAGTTTAACACAAAAAAAGGGAGAAAAAAAAATCAGCTGTCCTGTGAGTCTCGGTGACATACTCAGCAGCACCCTGGGACAACCCAGAATGGACCACACCACCCCTTGTTTAACCCTTTGTGCACCCTGAAACACAGGGATGCTCTCCCATTCAAGCAAAAGGGATATATCCTCCTAGTTGCTTCATCCCTGAAGTACATGGCTTTTGTGGAACTTGAGGACTGATCCTGAATGAGCAAATTAACCAAAATGATTTTTTAAGACAGACAAAAACTCAGCAATTATTGGAAGCTCCAACCCGTTTAAAAATTAAATGTAGCATTAAGTCTACAGGCTTTCTGGCTGCCAAAGGTGCTGTGTATCTGCCTCTTGGGAAGCTGCCAAACACACTGCATTTGGAATTTGTGATTGTCAAGGTGCTTTAGTCCAGGATAAAGTTTTCCATACCTGGCTACAGTGATTGTGCAATTGCAAGTTTAATAATGCAAAAGTTCTAACAAGTGCAAAACAAATTGTAACCGGTGAATGAATCCTTCAGTTCAACAACAACATGATTGTTAAGGGTGTAAGGCCCACCAGTCAAGACTCGGCTACAACTGCATCACCAATCATACCTCGTTGTGGATTTCTTCACAATGCTGCAGAACAGAAGGCTCTAAAGAACGCAGAGTGTGGGTGCCAGAGTCCAGGTCTGAGCGCAGGAACTTCAGAGCCTCCTGACAGCGTCTCTGGATGTAGTCCAGTGTGCCTGTTGAACACTGTGAAAATAAAAGGCTGAATCAGGCCACTTTATACAGGAAAATATTCTACATGTATGGATGTCAAACAAGAGCAAGACAGACAATTATGAGGGACTGACTTATTTTCACCTGCCTAACTGAAACAACCCAGAACACACGGAAGACTTTATAATGAATGATTCAAATACGCAACCAGGTTACCAACCACTATATACAGAAGATCTAGTATTCAGATATAACAAACTTAGAAACACTAAATCACTCTTCTGTCATCCCTTAAGACAAAAGGTTTTCAGCCCTTCTTGGTTTAAATGATCCCTGGGATATTCATGTTTTATCTGCACTCTGTTAGCAGGCTGAGATCAGGAAACGAGTCCTTAAAAAGGAATGAGAGTTTTGCTGTCAGTGAACAAGTGGCCAGTACAGAAGGTGAACCCTGTGGGACAGCTGGTCTTCAGTGTGTTTCACAGGACAAATAATACATCACTCTCATCTCAGCCTAAAATAAAATATTTAGCCCACATGAGAGAACAATCTGATGTTATTTTATATCAATGACGATGAAAACAATGTTGCAATTCATGTGATTTCTGCTGGGGGACAAGAGGATTAGAAGATCTGAACATGTGTACTGCTTAATAAATTTTTCCATCACAAAGAAGCCGACAAACAAGGCCAACAGACGGAGGCTCAGTCTCTGAGAGACTGAGCAGAGAGTGAATTATAAAACTGGAGATCTCTGACAGACACGAGCTCTGACCCAAAAGCCAAAACTTCAAAATAATCCATGTAAGAGATGTTGACTTTCAAAACTCCTGGTGCACCTGTGAAGTTTAATTTTGAAAGACTCGATTGAAAAGAAAGAGAAAGTTCTGATTTATTTAGTTCAATCAATGCTACTTTTGTGCCCCTCCGCTCCACATTAAAAAAAAAATCAAACAAAAACAAAATTCACAACATTAATCATTTAGAAGCCCTTAAAGAAAAGTCAGTTCTGTAGGGCTGTGAAGATGTGCCCCATTTCTGTAGCAGTGCAGCGAAGATGACCCACCGGGACCGACGAGCACCACGAGCCTGAACACGTCCCTTCTGGGGGAACCCAAGATGAGCAGGCAGTAGCCGGCCATGAACCCAGGTCAAAGGCGGAAAAAAAAAAACAGCCCGTTCCCAGTCCTGCAGACGGGTGTGCGCTGTGGGGAGGTGGGGCCGTCGCAGAAAGCAGAGCCCTTCACACAAACTCAGGCGCACGTGTGCAAGCTAAACCCCACACGGTCAGCAGAAACACCCCCCGCTCGCCGCATAACAGATCAGTGGGGCCCGGGGGTGCTAACAATGATACGTCTGCACCCTGCCAACCTATCGTGGGGAGGAGGCCGAGCAGGGCCGATTTCACACAGCTCCTGCTCCGACGCAGGTTTAATAAAGGGGAGAGCTAAGAAGATGTAATCGTGCCTCGAATTAAGGGGGCTCAGAGGGCTTATCCCTGCCCAAGTTGCCCCTCCTGCCCCCCGCGTTAACGAGCTCGGAGACGCAGTCCCAGGGCTTACCTCTGCCACTCTGTGCGTGGAACTGAACCGAGCCGAGGCACCGGCCAAGACGCAGTGCTGGTGGGTCGTGTTGAGATCATCTACAGACAGATTAGAACACATCCTCCACTTTAATCCAACAAGGGGAAAGATATTAAAAATGCAATTTAATCTACAGAGACACGGGGATCTCCTTCATAAAAGCTTTAAACAACTGCCGGCACCTATTTAAATAAGAATAGGGCTCTTCTTGTTTGTACACTTTGCTATGTTCTCTCATTAATCAGTTCAACATTTATTGCAAGGGTGTACTGTCATTGGTTTGGAGGCAAGTAGGAGCCGTAAAAATAGAAATGTATTTTCACCTAGAGCCGCAGTTTGAATAAGGCTCAAAGAACAGGCCTCCTTATTATTTAAGAACCTAGGAATGTAGGATGGAAATGCTTTGTTTTACCAGCGTTTCCTGTTGCTTAATCAAAAAAAAACTGAAAAAAGAACTTAAGTGATTAATAAGTTCAATCTTTTTTGACTCTAAATTCAGAATTGAATCTTGTGATCAAATCAATCCGAGATTAAAAATACTTTATTTTCCAATAATATATATTTCACACGGTCTTTGTTGAGTCATATTATGATTTTTGGTATGTAACAAAATAACAATAAAAAATATAAAACACTATTTGCTTCTCTTTTATTTATTATTTGAACATAAAGCCAGTCTTCCTTCTTTCTGGCTCACAAAGGAAGACGAAGATTTTAAAGTTATTGATTCCAATGGGCGTGAAGTCCCATGGGCATTGAGTCTGGATAATTTTATTATTGAAAGGCCTGGGATCAGCTTCATATTCCAATCTCCGCTAAAATTCCTTCTGGTGCTAATATGGCTACTCAGTTCTTAGGCTAGTGCTTCAGCATCAGCCACACAAAGGTCACGGCACTGAGGAATTGAGCAGGAAAGGAAATGCAGGGCTTGGGGGTGGAAACATCTCTCCACACTAAACGAACTTCCCTGGAACATCCTGGCCCATCCACACACTGACCCTCTGGTCTCTTCAAGTGCTTAAAACTTTGTTTCAGAAAGTATGCATCTACTGCCATAAACACAGAGATACTGTGCCCAGAAATAACGGCGAAACCCCATTTATACATTTGGAATCTCAAGTACCCCATCTTCTGTCTTCAGCAGCACACATTGAGCAGTTCTTTTGGACAGGCATTGCTGGGTGGAAAAGGACAGCTCCACAGTCCAGGTCTCCTTGCAGATGTACTGCGATTCCTCAATGAAAGGTTTACAGTTTGGAGTGTGTTTCAGAGAAAAAACTTTTGGAAAAGGGCTTGGTGCAAAATGGAAAGCTGGTTTTACAGCTCATGTGTTCTAGACTAACAGCTCTACAGCATTATTGTCCAGCAAGCATCTCTAGCACTGTAGTAACTGCACACCTGTGCCACAAGGGAACCCTGTACTCTAGCTCTGGTAGTGTCATCACTCCTGTGAGGACTGAAGCCAAAGTGGTTATTTCCACCCACAGTTTTCACTATTCAGCATGCGCAGAGTGAGAAACACTGTCTGGGTTCTCAGTTAAAGAGGGGTTGCAAGCACAAGATCAACCAATACTGAGGTGAAGATAATTAAAAAAAAAGAGAAATCTGATGTTTAGTAAGAGTGTGTTGTAAAAACAGATGATAAAAAGTTAAGAGAGTCTAATCTGAAGCTCTACATATGTCTGAAGGAGGAGGCACTGTGCATGAAATGAGAGTCTTCTGGGGCAGAAGCATCTGCAGGACACATCAGCACAGAGCTGTGATTTACATTCTGTGACCAAGCAGTGCTGCACTTACTGGCCTCACATTTCCATCTAGACATGATCAAGACTAGGTCACAGCACTTAGGAAAATAACATTTGGTTTTCTTAACCTTTCTAATCCAGACTATCTCATGGGGCTCAGCAAACTCCCACCTTAGGGACCTGGCTCCTTCCCTTTCGCAGCATTACACAGCTGCCTGAAAGTCACTGGTCTACATTTACTCTGCCCCGACACCTGAGTGTGCACTTCCTTAAGGCATTAATCATCTGAATCTGCAATAGCCAACAGGACGAAGAGACTTTTTGTCAGTTTTATTAACGTTTAGCATGTTTGTTGTAAAAATCTACAAACACACACATACTGAGCTCCGTCAAAAACTAAACCGGAGACAAACAGTTCAGAAAATCTGCTCCCGTAAATGTCAGCCTTCTGTGTGACCATCTCCACCAGACTCTCGTGTGTAGCCTCTGATACGGATGCGTTTATGAGCTCTTCTTCCGAGCTTGGTGTTTTGCCAGAGCTGTATTATCTCTATGTTCCCATTGTAATAGTAGAACTCATTTGTCTATGAGTTCTGTTTTGTAATTATAACACATAACACGTATCTGAAATGACAGCAGCATGGATCAGTGGTTGGAGGCCTGGACTGTGGACTGGAGAACCCTGGGTTCCGATTTTGGGTGGCATGCTCCCTTGAGCAAGGTCATTGACTCACACCGCTCCTCTAAATGCACATGCAAATGAGGATTTGTTCTCCAACGACTCAACTGATGGAATACTGTATATAGATACTGTACCTGTGCAAATCTACAAATCTTTCTGAGCATGAATGTGAATAAATGTCACTCTCTGGATTTCTGGTTTCCTAGTGGTGTGCAGTGCAATTTGAGAAAAGCAGTGGACGTGCCGGCCCTACCCAGCATGTAGTAGCAGTCACCGGACTGCAGGGGCAGCACTAGCCCGGGTGTGTCGATGTCCCAGGCCACCTTTAGCCCAACACGCCAAGCAGCCCCATCCAGCTCTCCGGCCCCAGAGTCAGCATCTGCCAACACAGACGAACAGCCAACTCTGAGTCATGCATTAGTACAGTATATTGCTGCTTTAAAACACACGATTTCTCCATGAAATCCACAACCTTTTCATGTATGAATCAACACGTCTGTGTAGGTGGCCTCAGACTATTGCAAAAACCTGTTAGAGTGATGTAAGGATTCCAGAGGTTCAGAAGTGTACTGTACCAAGGTAGAGGGAGGGCCTTTTAGAATAGTGGAATTCTCTGCATTGTGCAACTCTGGGAAGTGAGCAGGTCACAAGATCGTAATACAGTCCCAGGCATGAGCTGAGCAGCACGCTCATTCCTTTACAATTTCATCACGCATAAATTCCTTGCAAGTATAACTTCCTACTGCGGCACGGGAATGGTTTGAGACAATAGTAAGGTTAAGATTTCAAATTTTGCTGAAGCACACTGCAAACAACGCAAGACCTTTGAATTGCTGTTCCTTAAAAAAAACACATCTACAACTGTAAAATGCTCATACCTTCTCTAAATGTGTTTTTTTTTTAAACTGAAAGATTACAGAAAGAGGTCCTGCAAGCATCGGAATTGACTGCAGTTGGTCTGGTGGGACTCTGGCTGGAGAATGGGAGAAAGCAGAGGAATGAAAGGTCTGCCTTGTCGGAATTAGGTGCTGTGCTGCAGCTGCCGGCTGCTCCATCACACACTAGCTACACAAATGAGAAAACAAGATCTACTCTACACCCTTCGGAAAATCAATACTAAAGTCTTTCTACAGCTTTTTGCCCTTCTTCGTTGCTTCTTTACTCTGCTAGGATAAATTGTAACTTAATTTCCCATGAACGCTTTCTGAAAGCTGCAAATGACACTGCTTCCCAGCCATTTTGGTTTAATGGGGGGAGGAAAATTCAAAGATGGTGTCTGTTGCAGTAGGAAAGTCCCAGTCGCATCCAAGCGGCCTTCCCCTCAATTTGGGCAGTCAGTGGTTCCAATTCAGAAATTTAAAAATCACCGCTGAAAGAGAGAAAGATAATAACCCAGAGCGTTAAAAGAAAAGGCAGAGAGAAGAGTGAGAAAAATAAATTGAGAGTTTCCTGGCTCTGTTTAGTGACCCAAACACGCCAGGAATGTGCTGGGGGTGGCTCATGAATGAGTTATTAGTGGCTTGATTATTGCTTTAAATGATACACTTCCAGAAGGATGGCTGAGAAAAGGCTCGTACGAAAACAGCAACTCTTTCCGTGCGCCAACAGTTCAGTTATTTATTTCAGTAGTTTCTGCTTAAAGATATAAACAAAGCCAACATGACATTTCATTAGCAAACAACCCAACCATGGGCAGGTCTCATTGGAGTTTGACCATGCTTGTGTTTGTTTAAATGCACACAGGAACATCATAACTACAGAACAGATTAAAAAATTATACTAACTGAACTGTGAGCAGATTTCTGCCTGTAGTTCTACCAGACTATACCTGTATTGTACAGACTATAGTGGAAGCACACATTTTAAGGCAGCACTTAAAAAGATTAGATCAATGCAACATGCATAGGGAGCATTACAGCAGCTACACTGTTGAAAGCTGCACCATGCTTCATTAGTACCATCTCAAGCATGGTGTACTAGTTTATATCTATAGCACAGGCGTTTTCTTGCAATATGAAGAACTGAGCGTTGCTTTAGGTGGAGGAGAATGGTACAGCTGATTTGTTATGCAAATAATTACGTCTACAAATCAGTCTTTAATCCGCTGCCTATTCTACAGAAACTACCACTTAGCTCAGGGACCACAGAGGCCAGTCTTTGTCCAAAGGCAACTGCACAAGAGCCCTGAGAGGGGAAAGCAGAACAATAAAGCCAGCAGGAAGCAACCGCAAACCCATACATGACAAATCACTGCAATAGAGATAATAATGCCAACAACTATAAAAAAGCCCATTTGATAAGAGAGGGAATGTGCACCTGGGGAACCCCAGAGCAATGGCTTTGGCAGGTTCTGTTCCAGGTTTTCCTGTGTAGTGGGGGGGGGCTGGTGATGAGTTGGCAACCAATCCGAGAGTAAATTACACAGACCTTCAAGAAAGCATCAGGAACTAGAGAGCCAATGGAAGACAGGAGGAGGATCAAACATACAAATCCATTTGCAGGCAAAA